ATATATTAGGCTAATTTGAGGTTTTATGGAAATTAATGAGTCAATTGAGAGTTTCCAAAAACAAATCAAAATTATATGTAAATCAATACTATTACCAAATATTTCAATACAACTTAAGGGTTATATTAATAAAACTATTACGGAATTACCAATTTAGTTTTTAATGTTTTTGTAATGTCCGAACCTAAAATTATTGATTTAAAATAATATTATTTTTTATCCAAACCTATCTACGAAACATATTTTTTCGCCAAGTAGGATACCGAAGCATGCGAGGCTGCCATTTAGGCTCAGCGCATTCTGCAATTATATATAAGAGGTGATTGTGATTTTATCATTGTATTTAATTTTATTTTGTACTAATATATTTCATGTAGAATAAAATATAATGCGAACGACTTGAGACGAAAGTTAAATTTTAGCGTTCTCTGCTATAAAGTAAAGTAAACTACACACTTGAGCAGTGTTCTAAAAGTCGCTAGGCGCCCGCTAGGCGCTCGACCAGCGCCTAGCGCCTAGAGCGCCTAGGCGGGGCCTAGGCGGAGCCTAGTCGGGGCCTAGAAATCAATATTAAATACCTTATTTTTTATTTATTTAACTACTAACAAAATAAAAGTATCCCAACTTATAATAAATCGACACACCTAAGTCCAAATAATAATATTAATATATTTTAAAGAAAACATGAGAACAAAATAATGTAATTAATATTTTTTTTAAAAAAAAAAAACTGAAAAATTGCCGTTGAGCCCGCCTAGGAGCGCCTAGGTCCGCCTATGCCCGCCTAGGCGCCGCCTAACCGCCTGGCCGCTGAGCCCACCTAGGCCGCCTAGGAGCGCCTAGGGCCGCCTAGGCCCGCCTAGGCGCCGCCTAGCCGCCTGGCCGATTTTTTTGGCCGATTTGTGCAAATCGGAGGCGCCCGGGCACCGCCTAGCGCCTAGGCGCCGCCTAGGCGGCCGCCTAGGCCGACTTTTAGAACAGTGCACTTGAGTACAATAAAGGATTGGGAATAGTATGTCTAACATGAATCAAATGTATGGTATTTTAGTTTTTTTTTTTTTTTTTGGGTACTTTATGAATTCCATTCGGGTCTAAACACTTAATTTTTATGATTTTTACACTATTCATTATTTTAAACTTATATTTTTAACATTTTATGTGTAAAAGGTTTTACAAATATTTACACTATCTATAATTTCAAATCACCAACTATTAAAAAAAATGAACCTAAATTAAGGAGTTGAGGCATAACATAATAAACAACATGGAATCACGTAAATAACATGAATGGATGGAACGACTTGGGAAATTTATTGAAAAAAAATATATTAACAATTATTTTTTTTATTTAACTTTGTTGATGAAAATGATGATAAAATTATGGTACTAAATAAATTTTAAATTTTATGATAAAAATTAAGTCCATGTAACAAAAAAAAAAAAAA